CTGGTTGCACCCCCCTCCCACTGAACCCCCCCGTGTGCACCCCCCTCGCACCGAACACCCCTGTGTGCACACCCCTCGCACTGAACACCCCCGTGTGCACACCCCCTCGCACTGAACACCCCCGTGTGCACACCCCTCGCACGCGCACACCCTAGTTGAGCCCTAGTCTTGAGTGGAAGAACAGCTGGTGCCTCCACTTCTCTTGCCGACGGTGGCGTGCACACCAGCCTGGGAGTCTGGTAGGACAAGTCACCTCTCCACCCTGGAGTCCTCGAGGCTCTTCACAGACCTTCACCCTTTTCAACATTCCAATCACTTTCCTAATTCCACAGCGAACTCTGTCGGGCTTTTATAGAAATGCATTAAGCTTACAGGTTAATTTGGGAGAATTAACATTGTGATAATAGAATTATTTCATCTACAAAAACCTCCCCATCTGTCTAGTACTTATTTTATGATCTTCTGAAGTGTAGTTATGTCAAATACAGTTATATTTTAGTATTTTAACATTTGGTGCTTTTTTCTTTTGGTTAGTTTTTTGCCATAAGGCACATGTGCTTGCCAGAGAAGAGAGAAACAGAGATGTGGAGTGAGAACCACCCCCAGGTGGGATGGCCATGCTGCAATCCCTTCTCCATTCTCCTGAGATTTTGAGCACGCACGCGCATCTGGCATGATTTTCGAGTGACTGGGTGTGGGACTTGAACCACAGTCAGCCATGTGGGCGTCTAGCACCTTAATCTTGCTACCTGCTGGCCTTTAGTTAATTTTTTAAAATCTGCTGGGGGGCAAGTGCTTTTGTCAGAGAGAGAAAGCAAACACCCCAAAGGGGTGCACCTAGAATTTTTCAAACCTCTGGGGCCAAAACTGGAACCGTGGTCAGACACATGGGATCTGTTAACCACTGGACAGGAACCGTGGTCAGACACGTGGGAACTGTTAACTCCTGGACTTGAACTGTGGTTGGACACATGGGACACATTAACCACTGGACTTGAACCGTGGTCAGACACGTGGGATCCTCTAACCACTGCACTCGAGCCGCTGTTGGGCATGTGGGATCCTTTAACTACTGGACTCGAACCGTGGTTGGACATGTGGGATCCTTTAACCACTGGAAGCGAACTGAACCATGGTCGGGCATGTGGGACCCGTTAACCACTGCACTCTAGCTGCAGCTCGACATGTGGGATCCCTTGACCACTAGGCCATGGGGCCCGCACTGGCTGCTGGTAACACTCAGCTTGCTCTCACTAGGCACTTTAGTGGACTCCTTAGTTCCAGGGATTCGTGAATTCTGGGTGTTCTAGGTATCGAGTTACTTCTGGATCCATGAACCCACTCCCTCTCTCCCCGCCGTAACCACTAGTACTTCTGGTAAGTAAATTTTATAATGGCGGGCATCCCTGTTTTGTTTTGCCTTCAAAATATTTCTATACAAGAAGTGTTTCCTGTTAAGTTCTGTTAGACAATTTTATTAGATTAAAGAAGTTTTCTTCTAGTTAGGCAAACCTTATGTATGAATGTTGAATAAAAACCGAAGGAGCTAATAAATGACGTGTTAAGGAGCTGGACTCCTACGTGGCCGACCACGGCTTGAGTCCCAGGACCGGCGACTTGAGAATCACGTCTGGCTCACGTACGTGCATGACCAGAACCCCGAGGGGAGCTTGGAGGAGAAGGGCGGTGGCGTGGCCGTCCCCTGAGAGGTAGTCCCCCCTGCCCACCGCGGCGATGTAAGCAGGGCCTTCAGGAAGTCAGGGCTGCAGCCAGACCTTTCCTCGCCTGCTGGCGGGTCTTGTCGCTGGCAGCAGAGCAGACCAGAACGCTGGGCCTGGCCTCATCTGGGTCACCCACGAGACGATGCGGCTGTGGGGCTTTGCTCCGACCCCATGCTGCTGCTGTCTAGACACGAGAGCCAGGGGATCCCCTGGCCCAGCAGAGACAGGCCCTAGGTACTGGGGCCAGCAAATGACACGATGGTTACATCACCGGACTTCCACACAGCTGACCGCAGTTCAAGTCCCTGAGCCGATGGCTGAAACTTCACGTGAGGCACATGTATGCACGCCCAACACCCCGAGGAGAATGGAAGGGGGACTGCGGTGTGGCCATCCCCCCAGGGGATGATTTCTCGCTGTCTCTGGCTAGTGCATGCACCCTATAGCAAAACTCTTCCAAACAAAACAAAACAACAGAACCAAGCCCAGGTACCCTCGGAGCCGCCTTTTTGTTGTGTCCTAAATACCCATGGCTGTCCCACGCTGTGGGAAGTAACGTGTGTTTTCCCGACCCTCAGGGGTTCCTGGGCTGCGGGCCGCCAGCACGCCGCTGCTTCTCGTCTGACCTCTGCCATCGGGCACGTCCGTCGGTGACTGGCAGTACACCCCCCCTCACGTGGGCACCGTGGCCACGCCGGGTGGTGCCGTCACGCCTGTCTTGCATTTTCGACCTCGGCGTCACTCTGCTCCATGGTATCCAGCAGCTGCCCGTGACGCGCAGTAGGTCAGCACAGCACAGTCACCCCTTCAGCAAGTCCGACCCCTGGGCCGCCTCTGGCCCACGCTGTCTTCCACCCGTCGCTGTCCCTTCCCCACCCTTCCCTGCTGCTGGACCGCAACCCCCCTCTCGGAGAGGAGTCAGCAGTCCTCTTCTGCCACGGCCACCCCGCGTCTGTCGTCACCCTCACCGGTGCCCTCCTGACATGCCTGACCCTCCTCGCCATCCGACCGAGAAAGCCCGTGGGGCTCCTGAGCCGTGGCACCTGCCCCACCCCGTCCCTGGTGCTGCTGATTAAGTGCCTGGGATGGCCAGAGTGCCGCAGGGCAGGCCTCCATGCCAGAGAGCAGGGTCCGAGCCCTCTCCTCAGGGCGCCTCATCAGACTCCGGGTCGGCAGCTCCAACATGGATGTGCAGGTGCACCCGCTGCTGAGAGGTGCGGAGAGGAGGCCAGGGCGACAGCGCTTCTATGCGGACCGGCTGTGGAGGGAGGGCGGGCAGGCCTGGGGAGGGGGCGGTCACAGGTGCCTTCAGACGCCCCCCAGCAGAAGGAAGGCCGGAGTCTG